AATGATCTTGCCAAACAGCTAACTAGAATCCCAGAAGTAATAAATATAGAAATATATAAAGTACAAAAGAGAGGTTGAAGGACTAGACTCGCTCAAACTTCTTCAGCTTGACTTGGATCCTGGCTTTGAGTGTACGTCTAGACTACAGGCTTTTGTCGATAGAAGCTTTGCCGGCAGATACTGTCGACAAAGCTTCAGTCGACAAAGAGCGTCTAGACTACAGCCAGTGTCGATGCAAAGGACAGTGTAGATGCAATAATGCCTTCTGTCAACAGAACTCTGTCGACAAAAGGCGTTATTCCTCGTAGAATGAGGTTTACAGCCGTCGACAAAACTGCTGAGTTCTCTCGATGTTATGTCAACAGAACTCAGTGGCAGTGTAGATGCAGGTATAGTTTTGTTGACAAAAGTCCACTTTTGTTCACAAAACCCTGTAGTCTAGACACACCCTGAGTGTCTAAGTCAACACAGATAGTCCCTTGTGTGAGAACCAATATCAACTAGGAAGTGCTGACATGAACTGTAGGATCACGCCTGGCTTGATCATGCTGGCCTAGCTTGTCCTTGGAACAAACATTCATTCAATGCTGACTTGGAGAGAAACACATGAGCTGTTGATTCACCAGGGTGACTTCTCGGCTTTCCTTGGAGAGCCCCCATTTCATGATTGGCCCTGCTTGGCTTACATGATCAGATGAGATCACAACACTTAGGTGACTGCAGAAATGTAGTCAATCATCTTTTTAGCCTTACTTTTAAAGCAAAGCTGCCATTTGTTTCTGTGTGCACACTCATACTTGCTAATGTCCCTTTCATCGTAGCCAACAGTGTTGGAAAAGTGCCAAAATAAAGACTGAATTTTCAACGGTGCAAACAAGTTGGATTGCACTCCCGCCACGTAGGCATTAAGGGAGTGGAACTGAATAACTCGACTTTCAAAACAAAATGGTTAACACACCTAAAATATGGCAATAGCCACCGAATCATTGAGATGCATGCTCCAGAATGTTAGCAAAAGGAATCATGTTTTAACCCAGTGTCAAAATTCTTTTTCAAAATCTTTATTCGAACCACCAGCTGGGAGCCATCCCAGAAAAAAGAACTGAAAGTGTTTGTACTTAATGAGTATTACCCCTGTGCTGCAGTCACAACTCCAGTTGTATTTAAAAGAGGTTAAGCCAAAGGACTGGGGAGTAAACCTTAATTCTAATTCCTGGCATTGCCACCGATTCACAGCATGATCATGGGCTAGTCACATTGTGCCTCAGTTTCCCCTTCAGTAAAATGGGAGACAGTTTTATTAGTTATTGTAATAGTATGAATCATAATACATTCTTTAATTATGCTCTCTACCTTCCTGTGCAGACAAATGCTTTCACATTCTTTTTCCTGGCTCCACAGCATGGCCACTCGCTTTCATACCTATAGAAGACAAAGCCCAGAGTATTGGAATGGTCCTTATAAAATTGGGATATCTGGTTGTCCTAAATTCCCACAAGGTACCGTGCCTATTCCATAAAATTGGTAATATACACATTTATGATGTCACGATACAGTTCCAAAATATATACCCAGTGTATATTTTTAATGTGTAATTATATTCTGAAAAGCTACTCCATAACCAGGACAATGGGGTAGTACAGACATATTATCTACAAGAAATCTGGTTTCTGTAGCATGAGTTTGTATTTCAAAGTCAAGCTATAGGCTTTGAACATCATCAACTTTTGCCACCACAAACCCAGCCAGATAGAATCTCCAATCACAACTTTGTGTAATCATTTACTGTAAAGCAGGTGGGAAATCATTCTCAACTTACCTTTCCTGTTTTTTTCTTCTTCCAATCCTAGTCCACTCCTTTGTCCTGTTTTCCCAATTCTTTGAACAGGTTAAATACAGTAAGACTTATAGATTTCCCCATTGCTTTTGTCCTTTCAGTTTACTTTAACTCTTTAGTACTGTAGTTATAACTCTATAGTATTATAACTCTATAGTAAAGAATGGTTACTTACCTTTAAACTAAGTATGAGAATTGCATCCAATTCTGGGGCCCCCATTACAGAAAGGATGTGGGCACATTGGAGAGAGGAATTTGGGCTTATTAGTCTCCAAGAGAGAGAAGTGAGGGGGGAATTTGATAACAGACTTCAACTACCTGAAGGCGGGTTCCAAAGAGGATGGAGAGAGGCTGTTCTCAGTGGTGACATATGACAGAACAAGGAGCAATGGTCTCATGTTGCAGTGGGGGAGGTCTAGGTTGGATATTAGGAAAAATTATTTTACAAGGAGGGTGGTGAAGCCCTGGAATGGATCATCTAGGGAGGTGATACACTCTCCATCCTAGAGGTTTTTAAGTAATAGCTTGACAAAGTCATGTCTGGGATGATTTAGTTGGGATTAGTCCTGCTTTTAGCAGGAGGGTTGGACTCGATGACCTTCTGAGGTCTCTTCCAACCTTATGAGTCTATAATTCTTCATTAAGCATTTTTCTATGTGGATCCCATTTCTGGTGGGTGAAGTTACTCAGAGAAAGGGTTTAGTCAGTGAAAGAAGAGGGTGTGATAGCTCCTTGAGGAACCAATAGGGAAAATGCTAGAGGGGAGTATGATCAACCAAAGAGATGCAGCAGGAGAGCCAGGGAAGACAGTGTCATGAAAGCCAAGGAAGGAGATGGCAAAGCAGATGAGTGTAATCAACACAGCAGAGGGAACAAGCAGGATGTAGGTGGAGTAGATGCCTTGAGTGCTGACTAGAAGAACAGTTTCAGAAAGTGTGGATGGGAATCCAGGATGGGTTGAGGAGAGGCATTCAAGAGACTCCAGCTGTAGATAGCTCACTGAAGGTCTGGAGGTGAAGTGTAGGATGGGAGATAGAGGGACAGTGTTTGGAGGGGCAAGATAGGGTTAAGGAATGGTGTCAGTCATAATTACAAAGAACCAAAAGGTGTCAGTTTCAAGATGAGTACTTCTCAGACAAACTTGACATTTCATTTAGTTGAATGGGCCTTTCCCTTATTGAGAAAAAATTGGCACAGCCACCAACCACTAGTTATGCTCTAAAATTCTCTTTATTAAAATTCTTTTTAAGAAACACAATCTGAAACACTTTGCAATCAGTTGCACAGATCAGTTAATAATGGTGACGCCTCCTACATAATTCAACAAGTTCTAACAAATTCCAATTGTTTACAAGCCAAAACTTAAATTAACAAGATTCTATAAGCTCAATAAATAGTATATCTGGTCCAGTTCAAGTATAATTAAACAAATCACAGCCTTGATAGAGTAGAAAAACCCTGAATATAACCAGCCTGACACTAATTTAGTGTTCAAGCCAATATTAAAATGTGTCAAGTCTTGTGGGGGCAAAGTTTAGATTTTTTTAAAAAAAATTTACCTTGAAGAAAGCAAGTTGCATCGTGACATTAAAGACTATTTGAGATGAGCAGATAAAAACACATTCACTGTTCAGAAAGGCTGCAGCCTTTGTGAAATCTTTGGTTGAGACATGTTGAAATGATTCATAAATATCATGGAAGCTCTTCTTTAAATAATAATAAATAATTTTTGGTTAGACTTGAGACGGCCTGGTGCTATACATCAGAAATGTAAATTGTTGAAGAACTATGCCAACTAGAAAAATACTACATCTTAGATTTTAAATATAGCTAGTCAAAAGAGAAACAGCATATTTTACAGCAGTTGAAAGAGACAAATAGCTTCCTGTACAGGTGCACTGTCTCTCAGCAGAATAGGTATTAGAATGATGTCTAGGAGTTAAATGCCTACCAGCATCGTTGTTATGGGTTGTTCTGATGGAAAGAAATTACATTGCAGATCTCTATTTGTGTTGGACTGAAAGTTGATTGCACAGATTGTTAGACTAAGGCCACGTCTTCATTTGCCGAGCCAGAGATCGATTTTCTGGCATTAGATTTAGCAAGTCTAGATAAGGCCTGCTAAATCAATCGCCGAGGGCAGCTCCAGTTGGCACGGGCACTCCTCACAGTCATGAGGAATAAGGGAAGCCGATGAGAGCATTTGCCCCAATCGGCCTCCCTCTGTGAAGACGGCGCCAAGCTTGGCTTAAGGTAAGCCAACTCCAGCTATGTATTTTATGTAGTCCCCCCTGAAAATGCCTCAATCTGCTCGCAGTTGTCTGCTTGTGCAAATGCAGATGTGTAAGCAACTATTGTGGATGCCTTTCTGGAGACTCAAACATTTGGCCCACAGACAGCAATTAGGCTAGAATCACTTCTTGGGCTCTGCCAGTGGAACCTGGATTTGCAGGCTGTCAGAGTAGGACATGCCACATCTAAAGGGGTGTCCCCACAGCTGGATGAGAGCTGTGCTGGTTCAGTTTGGTTCCTGGGCAGCCCATCAAGCCTCCAACCTTTAGAGCCCTGGCTGGAAATTAAAGTGTTCTTCCTCAGGCAAGATCTCTGGGAACGGGGCTGCAACATACTGCTACCAACCTGCTGCAAGGTGGGCTGCATCAAAGAAAATCTGGGCCTTCGTGTTTGGGTATGTCTACACTAGCCCCCTAGTTGGAACTAGGGTGGCTACTGTAAGCATTTGAAGTTGCAAATGAAGCCTGGGATTTAAATATCCCGGGCTTCATTTGCATCTTGCTGGGCGCCGCCATTTTTAAATCCCCGTTAGTGCAGACTCCGGTGCCCGCAGCTACACGCGGCACGGAGTAGGTAGTTCGGATTAGGCTCTCTAATTCGAACTACCGGTACACCTCGTTCCACGAGGAGTACCGATAGTTCGGATTAGAGAGCCTAATCCGAACTACCTACTCCGTGCCGCGTGTAGCTGCGGGCACCGGAGTCTGCACTAACGGGGATTTAAAAATGGCGGCGCCCAGCAAGATGCAAATGAAGCCCGGGATATTTAAATCCCAGGCTTCATTTGCAACTTCAAATGCTTACAGTAGCCACCCTAGTTCCAACTAGGGGGCTAGTGTAGACATACCCAAACACGAAGGCCCAGATTTTGGGGAATAAATTGAATCATTTAAATCTGACAAGGAGCTTATGGGCAATCCAGTGTTAGTTGTTCTACCCCCGCTGACCAGAATGGGTTCCCTGTCACCTTCTGCTTTCCCCATTTGTTTGCATCCCCCTGTTGTTTCTCACAGTGAATGATGATAATGAGCTCTTTGGGGTTTGGGAAAGCTTTCGTTACAGTGCTAAGAACAATGGAGCCGGAGCCTCTCAGAGCTGCCGCAATGAAGGATAATAATGATGTTCTTCATACTTGAGTATGGCTGGAGAGAAGTTGCTAGAGGCAGGGGATTGGGGCACTCTTAACCCCTTCCTCCTACCCACTTTCAGCGTCACCTTGTGATGTAAAAATCTACCACCACCAGCTGAGCGCAATAGTTCCGGAACGGTCTGGGATACAAAAATTAGATGCTTGTGTAACACCAAAAGGTAGAACCAAACCTGTGACCTCGGAAGTGTAGTGCATGAGCCTCTACAGCTTGAGCGAAAAGCCAGCTACTTCTTAACTAGGGCTGTAGAGCAAACTAATTCTCTCTCTCTCTGTAAGTGGTCTAAGTACCACTACATGGGGCAGTGAACCACGCCCAATAGATGTGAGTTACACTTGCATCTGGGGTGAATCTGCCCTCCACCCCATAAACCCATATTGTGCTAAGGCAATGAGAGTAATCCTTCGCAGTCACTCTGTGCATCACTACCCTAACAGCTCTGCCTTGGACAATAACTAGAGAGAATTTTCCTCACTTTTCATGATTTTACACCTTGCAATACAATTTTTTGCTCATCAAATCTCATCCAAATGCAATAAGAAATCTTGTAGCAAGAAGAATTTGCTTTTCAATATTTTTTTTCTTCTGTTAAGTGAGGAATAAAAGCCATGTTTTAAATAAAAGATGAGCCCAAATCCTGTCATACCTGAAATCCCTGAAGCTCAGATTATGCCTAAATATTGCATCTTCTCTTTTTTCCCCCCTCTGTGATGCACCAAGCCCAAACCTGGGATCCAAAGACTCCACGAATTTTGGAGAAAAATGAATCCAAAGTTTCAGCTTGCACCCAACTCTGGTTGAAATAAATGCTATGCCAGCACCAACTAATTGAAAGGGAACTTGCCAAACAACACAATACAACTAGGAAAAATTATATTGCGATGAAACAATTTTCAGAGAAAGAAGAATATGGCTGCTAGTGCAGGTGGTATGGAACAGGTGTGTTGGTGAGAGCAGTTTTGTCAGACTGACCATTTTGCATTATTTTGCAACAATAATACTGCTCTCTATGATGGATATGCCTTTTTTGGAGAAAAAGTTATGTAGGTACTCAAAGTCCTATTGCCAGAGATGTCAGTCGTCCAATTGATGTCAGAGCAGAGCAAAGAGTGGGGGGAAAAAAATCTGCAAATTGTCCTATTCCCATTTTTCAACCAAATCTCAAACATTTCAAAATGTTTCCTATCACTTGCTTGGAGACTGCTTGGCAAGTGAAAGGGTTTGTGGTGCATTTTGTAAAAGCATAATCCCAGGATCAAATCTGGCAGCAGTTTTAGAAGATATTCAGTTTGCTACACAAAGCCCATTGAAATTAACCCAGAATAGTACACTTCAGTGGGACTTTATATTATATTAAGCAACAACTCTGAGTACAAACAATACCATATAATAATATTTATAGTTGCTGGCGCATCCTGTGTTCTCAGTACAGCATTCTCTGAACAGTTCTTACCCGTGCCATAAAAATTCAGGGGAATAAATACAAAAACCTATTAAAATAACATTAAGAGTCTGGCTTATTTCCATAAAGACCAGGAAATTGAAGAGTGCCAAGATTAGAAAAATGTGTTTTAACCCCCCCCCCCCCCCTTCTACGGGTTACATAAGCTAAAAGGGTAGCCATTATACAGCTTTGTGTGTGAGTTTAATCTAAGACACAAGGTGGACACACTTTTAGAATTTTCCCAAGGAATATTCCAAACACAGAAATTGCCAAGGAGTATCCAGCCCACGGGATATAAATCACTGGAGAATGGAGACAATTAACTTTCAGTCTGAACTAGAGAGAGGGACTGTGACTTCCTCTATCTTTGTACATCCTTGAGTAGATGGACAACACTCAAAACATTAAAAATCCATGATGATTATCATCATCCAGCCTAGGTGCACATATCCTGATGCCACTGGGTGCTACTTTTCCAGGGGTGGGGAACCTCAAGGGGCTGGATGTGGCCCCTGGCTTGTCTGGATCCAGCCCCTGAGGCTCAGGGCTCCCCTCCTAGCATTGAGGAGCCTGCGCCTATTGAGGGACTGGAGCACATGCAATCTTCTAGCCTGGGCCCCAGTAGGCTCTGGTGTGGAAGGGGAACGTGGGGAGTATCTTTCTCCTTCATAGTCAAGGGCCACGTCAGTCAGGATTTTCCGGCTTCTCATTTGTGAAAAAATCAGCCCCCAGCTGATTTTTCCGTGGGTCGGTGGCCCTTGACGGAACAAAGGTTCCCCACCCCTGCTTTATGCCATCTAACAGCACTAGCACAATGGTTTTAGGTCTCTTAAACAAGGCCTATTGTTCACTATACTAATGAGTGAAGGGACTTAAACCATCTTCATGTTAAGAGCTTAATTCAGGGCGTTTCCTTTGCGATCATTTCCACTGGAGGATACTAAACTCTTCTCAATTCTCGGCCTGACCTAGCGTGTGGCATCTGCGAATCCCTGAGAATTCTGCGTTAGTAGAGGAAGCCGCTCCCAGCACACTGAGTGGGAGAAAGAATAGCTGCGCTTGTTACAGACACTCCAGCATTGCTTCACCGTGGGAAACTATTTCAGGCATTATGGGTTTTAATGGCACCTTGGGCAAAGACGCATGGAACATGTTGTTTCGTGTGCTTTCCTTCCTCCTGCACAATGCAAACTGATCATTTCATCATGTAGATCAACCCTGAAATGTCAGCATTCACTCATTTACAGCTCTTCTAGTTCAGTGACATCATAGCTTTTTCTTCTCAAAGTGGGGGACAATTCCCGTATCACCCTGTGGCAGGTGGCTCTCTTCTTCATTCATTTTCAAACTCTCTTCTGCAAGCTGGGATAGATACTTCTGTGGCCAAAGAAAAAACAAGAGGTGGCATTAGGAAGATTGATAACACTCAACACAAAGTAGAGAAGCAAAATCCTCTTTAATCAGCTAACGAGGGGTGTAGGTCCAGGCTGGGTGCTGTGGGAGGGGCTGCTCTGGTCGGGCTGGACCTGCTGCGTCGTACGCTGCTCCAGCCCGGCCGGACCACTGGTTAACTGGTAAGCATCACCCAGTAAGGGTAAACCTCGCTGCTGGGGGAGAGGGTAATCAGCCCCAGTTTTCCCCCGGTCAGCCAGAGCATGCTTACTTGGGGGAACATGAAGGGGTGTGTTCGCATCTTTTGCACCCCCTCTGCATACAGGCCTGCATTAACTGGTAGACAGGCTGTTGGGGTTATTGCACCTTATTAAGAATAATTAAATCACCAATAAGGGTGATGCTTATCAGTTAACCACTGACATCCCTACTTCAATGTACTGTCACTAGCCCTCAGCAACACTGGGAGGTAAAACACACAGACATTCTCCACATTAAGGAAATTCGAACTGGTATATCTGTATTAATGTAGCTGTCCTAGAGAAAATTCCCTTGATGCTGACAAGGCCAAAGAGGTCAAAGGGACTTGCTCAATGCTCCCCAGGAAATCAGCAGCAGAGCCAGGAGGACTACAATTTAGGATATCTTGGCTTCTGATCCCATGCTTAATCTACTACAGAAGCTGATTGGTCTGTTCTGCTCTCACATTGAGTGAACAGAATTACACAGGTATCCAGTGGTGTGACTGAATCATAGAATCATAGAATACTAGGACTGGAAGGGACCTCGAGAGGTCATCGAGTCCAGGCCCCTGCCCTCATGGCAGGACCAAATACTGTCTAGACCATCCCTGATAGACATTTATCTAACCTGCTCTTAAATATCTCTAGAGATGGGGATTTCACAACCTCCCTGGGCAATTTATTTCAGTGTTTGACCACCCTGACAGTTAGGAACTTTTTCCTAATGTCCAACCTAAACCTCCCTTGCTGCAGTTTAAGCCCATTGTTTCTTGTTCTATCCTCAGAGCCAAGATGAACAAGTTTTCTCCCTCCTCCTTATGACCCCCTTTTAGATACCTGAAAACTGCTATCATGTCCCCCCTCAATCTTCTCTTGTCTAAATAAAACAAACCCAATTCTTTCAGCCTTCTTTCATAGGTCATGTTCTCTAGACCTTTAATCATTCTTGCTCTTCTCTGGACCCTTTCCAATATCTCCACCTCCTTCTTGAAATGCGGTGGCCAGAACTGGACACAATACTCCAACTGAGGCCTAATCAGCTCAGAGTAGAGCGGAAGAATGACTTCTCGTGTCTTGCTCACAACACACCTGTTAATGCATCCTAGAATCATGTTGGCTTTTTTTGCAATGGCATCACACTGCTGACTCATATTCAGCTTGTGGTCCACTATAACCCCTAGATCCCTTTCTGCCGTACTCCTTCCTAGACAGTCGCTTCCCATTCTGTATGTGTGAAAGCAAACAAAGTTTCTGATTTACATTTGCAAATCATCTGACTTAGACACATAGGGTATGTCTAAACTACATGGCTCCGTCGATGGAGCCATGTAGATTAGGTTGATTGGCAGAGGGAAATGAAGCCGCGATTTAAATAATCGTGGCTTCATTTAAATTTAAATGGCTGCCGCGCTTTTCTGACCAGCTGATGATCAGCTGTTTGTCGGCAGATCAGGGCAGTCTGGATGCGCCGCTGTGGACAAGGAAGCCTTGAGGTTTACCTGCGCCGGTCGACAAAGTCTTCCTTGTCGACAGCGGCACGTCCAGAAAAAAAAGGTTTTTTTTCCCATCAGAATGGGAGGTGTGTGCATAAGAATTTTCTTTTAAGCATTATTTTTAAAGAACAGTGGGACTAAAATCACTGGTTTGAGCCAACTTAATACTGGCAGGAACAACGCAGGTTTAAATCCCACATAGAAATGCTGCTATACTGCAATCTTGGTATGACATAAACATACAAATGTTACTCTACTGCTCTTGGGGCTCCCTGGACTAGAGGCTGCCGGTTGTGGTCATTTTTGTGGCTCTTCTGTGGTAAGACCAAAAGAGGGGCATAAAATCCAATACTTTCTCACTTGTGTTCTGCAAGACAAGATTTGAATCCTGCTGTACAGAAAAGAGAGGTTAATTCACGTATGGTCCACTTCCAAAAATGTTCATTTATTTTTGAGCTTTAAGGAGTAGCCAAGTTAGTCTGTTACAGAAAAAAGTAACAAATGGTCTGGTAGCACTTTATAGACTAACAAAACATGTAGATGGTATCATGAGCTTTCGTGGGCATAGCCCACTTCTTCAGATGACCGAGTTCTGAGTAGGGGATATGAAAACTCGAAATAAATAGGAGAAGGGAAAGGGGGAGAAGAGAATGATGCTCTGTCTCCCGCTCCCCATCCCTTTTCCTGTTTTTTCTTTAAGTATCTGGAGAATGGGTGCTAAACCTAAGCAGATAAAGATCAAAGTCAATAGATGGAATGCTAAGACAGGAAGGATACCACTCAGAAAGTTGTTAGCACCTTCAGTGATAGAGTCCCCACCAATTTAAATCACTATTGAGTCCATTAGCATGTGAATTGAATTTGTGTATGTAATGTGAATTCCAGGCTTTCCCGCAGAGAACGTCCAGTTTGACCAATATATATAGTAGAGGGGCACTGTTGGCATTTGATGACGTAGATCAAATTACTAGATGTGCAGTGAAATGACCCTTTGCCCCTCTGCTATATATATTGATCAAACTGGATGGTCTCTGCGGGAAAGAAGAAGTTACTCACTTTGTGCAGTAACGGTGGTTCTTCGAGATGTGTCCCCGTGGGTGCTCCACTGTGGGTGCTGGTGCGTCCTCGCGCCGGCGACCGGAGACTTTTCTAGCCATTTCTGCCGTGCCGCGGCGCCCTCTAGTGTCGTTGGAATTGAAGGGCTCCTGCGCATGCGGCTCCTCCATTCCTTCTCTACCCGCTAGAGTAAAAGGCTCCAAGCAGGGGAAGGAGGGAGGGTAGTGGAGCACCCATGGGGACACATCTCGAAGAACCACCATTACTGCACAAGGTGAGTAAGAGAGAGTTACTCACCCTGTGCAGTAACGTCTGTTCTTTGAGATGTGTGTCCCCATGGGTGCTCCACTTGGGGTGCTGGGTCCGTCCCGGCGCCACAAAACGGAGAAACTTCCATAGCAGTAGCTCTGCCGGCCCGCGCATGCGCTCCTGTTGCCTCGTGCCGTTCGCGCCATTACAGCTAAGCGCGGGCCGGCTTGTCAGTTTCCTCTCAATCGGAAGCATCTGAAAGAGATAAACAGAAGCTCTGAAGCAGGGAGGAGGGTGGGTCGTGGAGCACCCACGGGGACACACATCTTGAAGAACAGACGTTACTGCACAAGGTGAGTAACTCTCTCTTCTTAACTCTCTCTTCTTCGTCGAGTAGTGTCCCCGAGGGTGGTCCATTCGAGGTGAGTACATAGCAGTGGTCCAACACTATTGGCGTGCTTCGGACTTATGATCTCTGTGCTGTGGCCAAGACTGCTTGCGCCACCGCTGAATCATTCCTCAATATTTTCTCAAGAGCATAATGCTTGGCAAAGGCAAGAGAGGATGACCAGGTTGCTGCAGGGCATATGTCCTGCAAGGGTACCCCTCTAAGGTACGCAGTAGATGCGGCCATGCCTCTGGTGGGATGAGCGTGAGGTCGTCCTGGCAAGGATTTGTGCCGTAGGACATAACAACATGAGATACAGGAGGTGATCAGATTGGAAATACGTTGTGTGGAGAGCTGTTGACCCTTGGAGTGCTCCGCCGTAGCTATAAAAAAGCGCTGAGACCATCTGAAGGCACGTGTTCTATGCAGATAGAAGGCCAGTGCCCGTCTAACATCAAGGGTATGTAAACGCGAGTCTTCTGGCGAGGAATGAGGCTTCAGATAGAATGTTGGCAGACTTATGGGCTCGTTTATATGGAAGGAAGAATTTATCTTCGGCAGGAGGGGGGGATGAACGCGAAGCAGAACCCCTTGTTCAGAAAATAAAGTGTATGGTGGATCGGCTGAAAGAGCTGCCAACTCACTAACCCGACGTGCTGCCGTGACTGCTAGAAGGAAAGACACCTTCATTGTGAGCATGCGCAGGTCGCAAGTTGCTAAAGGTTCAAAGGGGGGACGAGTTAGTGCGTCCAGTACCAAAGATAAGTCCCATGGCTCCGGAGGGATTGTGAAGGTCGGATATAGGTTATCAAGTTCCTTTAGGAATCTTTTAACTAACAGGTGAGCAAACAGTGAATGTCCGTCGATGTGCGAACGGAAGGCCGAGATTGCTGCCAAGTGTACTTTCAACGAAGTGTTCGCTAAGCCCTCCGTCTTCAGATGGAAGATGTAGTCCAAAGTATGCTACACCGGTAAAGAAAGAGGGTACAAGTCCCTTTCCAGACACCACGCTTGGAACCGGTGCCATTTGTAGGTGTAGGCCTTGTGAGTGCTATGGCGTCTGCTATTCATCAGTACATGTTTCACTTCCTGAGAACAAGTCATTTCCGGTGGCTGAAACCAGTTAGGAGCCATGCCGTAAGATGCATGCGATCGATGCAGCATTGAACAGTGCCGTTGAGACAGTAAGTTGGGCCTCAGTGGGAGTCGTTGTGGCTGAGCGACCGACATTCTGGACAATTGTGTCAGCCAAGTCTGTCGAGGCCAATAGGGTGCTATGAAGATCACTGTTGTGCCCTCTTCTCCAGTGCCCTCGGAATGAGAGGAAGAGGCGGAAACGCGTAGAGAAGTTGGTGAGAGCCCCAATTGAGCAGAAGAGCATCCCCCAGGGAATTCTTGCCGGTACCTGCCCGTGAACAATACTGATGACACTTTTTGTTGTGATGAGTGGCAAAGAGGTCTATACTCGGGAACCCCCAGAGATGGAAGAGACCATGAACCACTTTGTTGTGTAACTCCCACTCGTGCTGAGTAAGGAAGTGTCTGCTCAGGGCGTCG